TCTATGCCAAAAATGTATGAAATTTCTCAATATTTCTTAAGTTCGATGTTACAAAGTTCACAAAACTCTTACTATTGAGTACCAACAAATCCCATTTTTGACGAGCTTTCATTTGATATAAAATTCATTATATACTCCTTTTTGGAGTAATATGATTTCCTATGGGACATCCTATGATTAAGCACGTCCATATATATAATAAATAATTAAAACCTTAACAAAAAAAAAAGAATAATTTTATTTTTAGTCCCAAACAATTATTCAAACAAAAGCCAATTCGTGCAGAATTTAGTTACGAAATAAAAAATGAAAATTTTTGTTCATCCGTAAAACCTCATGCTCTTATATTTGTTGTTTCAAAATCAAGTAACTATGATTCACGAAATGCTATTCGTCGTACATGGGGTAATTTTGCTCGTATAACATCTCTCAATAAATTTTCTCATGTTCATCTTAAACTTTTTTTCTTATCGATATTGATGAAACTCGTTTAATAAGTATTAGTCTTGAACAAACATTATTTTAAGATCTTGTTCAACTTCGTTTACCACAATATTATACGTTATCAACATATCGAGATATGTCTATGTTACATTGGACAGAAACATTATTGTTCCGAAGCAATGATGACAATAAAAACCGATGATGATATTTTTCTCAATACTTATTTATTAGTTAATATTATAGATATTGCTCTTATGAATATGGCAAATAATCAATTAAAACTTGAATATAACTATTCAGATACATCAGCAATTATTTATGGTATTGAAATTCGAAATGCTTATGTTGTTCGAAATTCTAATGATCAACATCTAGTAAATACATGTTATATTGTAACTGATGATGAATATCCATGTAAAAATTATCCTCTTTATATGAGTGGTTTTGGTTATATTGTTAATCATAATGCACGTTTAAAACTTCTTTGTACTTTTTTCGAATTAAAAAACTTTTTCATATGTCTGATGTATACATAACTGGTATATTACTTAAATATATTGGTATAAAGCCAAAACTTTAGGTTTATTAATAAGCTATCGATGAAGTGATAATTGTGAAAAATTTTTTAGTCGAACACATGCTGATAATTATGGATATGAATCATCATTACATAATAATAATAAACAAATTGATATATTTGAACGTTTCAATACATATTGGTAACATATATATAATAATAGATTTTTACATATAAATCGAAAATTTTTTTTTATAATAAATCCATAAAAAAAATAAATCTTATATTTATTATTCTAGATTAAATAAACATGAAATTTATATGGCGTTATCAATGTTTATTGATTAATTTAATTTTAGTATGGATTTATATAGTAATTTGTTTAACATGTCTTTCTTTGATTTATTACATTTCGTGTGCAATAAAAGATATATGTACTAATCGTTTATTATGTCCACATCGTCAATTAAATTTATATCCACATCTATTAAACTTTCTAAACAATGATTATTCATTATGTAGTCAACGATCAGCAAAACGTGGTCCACATCAACATGTTATTGGTGTATCAGCTTATTTATCTAAAATGGATAATAAAAATTTATTAGCAAAAGTTTGGACATATTTACTTGAATATATTGAAGAAGCAAAAGAAAAATATCCTAATTGGATTGTTCGTATTTATTATTATTCACTTGATATATCTAAAGAAGAAATATTTCGTATTGAAAATAATTATAAAAATGTTGATTTTTGTGATTCAACAAATATTCCTGTACTTGGAAATGTTTCAAATTGGTTACCAGGTAAAATGCAACGTTTTCTTCCAATAGCTGATCCACTTGTTGATATATATATGTCACGTGATATTGATTCACCTATACTTGAACGTGAAACAATTATTGTTTATGGATGGTTAGATTCAAAACAAACTATTCATATTATACGTGATCATCATGAACATGATGTACCAATATTAGGAGGTCTTTGGGGAATTAAATTAAATAAAGAACGTTCATTGATTAATAATGTTTCACAATATTTACTTTCACCTGATATTGTAAAATGTTATAAAGGTAAAGGTGATCAAAATTTTCTTGAAGATTATATTTGGCCACATGCAACTATGTATGATAAAATGACACTTGAATTTGATAGTTTTTTTTGTAAAAAATATCCGAATTCACGTCCATTTCCAACACGAAAAGAATCACCAACACTTTTTATTGGTTGTCGTCGACCAAATTGTACAAAAGATAAACATCCCGAATGCCCAAAGGAATGTCGACCTGCTAATCATCCAGATTGGATATGGTGCTAAAATAAAAAAGCAAATTTAGAAATATCTAATGAATATCTTGTCTATTATAATCATAGTAGAACATTAATTATCTGAGAAAGAAAAAAGCTTAAAGATGATTTCTTTTTTCTATTTCAAATTAAGTCAGAATTGTAACCGATAATCACTAATAGTCGATTGATAAAGACGATATTTTCTTTACGAGTCAGTCAAGATTTTCTTCTATGTATTAAATATTTTTAAGAGGTATTTAAAATTATTTTCATGAGAAAAAAAAACATGTCTCACGAGGAAGGTATCCCAATTAATACATCGCTTTTAAGTTGAGACTATGTGCATTATGTAGAATGAAATGAGTTATGAATACTCTGAAAATAGTTCAGATTCTTAGCTTATTGTTGCAGAGATACTGCACTTTTATCGTAGTTTTTATATGTGATGCTGCGGTAATAGAAAAACTGATTTTCGATTTGAAACTTTGCATAGAGACAGGCGTTAACGAGAATAGTTTCTTGTAAATGTATATATCAATAAGAAAAAGAAATCCTATCGATAACAACTCTTGACTAAATTATACATCTTTTCTAATGCAATACGAAAGCAATAATTTTCAATTTCAAGTTAAAAATTTGAAAACTTTGATAATCATAACTAAGTTCTTTATTTGCTAAGTTTTTTGTTTTCAAGGTCAGCACCAACAATAATAAATTAGTTGTCAGCTCGAATACTTTACTCATTCAAATAAAAAAAAAAGTAGAACTCAACTAAATAGAGATAGTACCGATCTGCAGCAAGCAGACTGGATCGTGATATGTGCGTAGAGTGATTCAACATTTTTAAGTATGTGAGAGTCTCGAAAAATAATTTTGAAGCCTAAAATTATTATTTAGTTTGAAAGGAAATGATTGTTCATTTTCTATGCACTAAGCTTTCACCGTATAAAAGCAATATATAAACGATATTTTTATTTTCAAAAAAAAAAAAATCTTATCAATACATTTTTAAAGCACTGATATTTTTGAAAATCTTTCTTTTTTTTTATATTGTTTCATATTTATTGTACTATGTTTTGAGAATTTCTTTTTTTAAATGTTAACAAAAGCTTTTATTCAATAGATTTTGTATTTCTTCGAAAATTTTATAAAAACATTGTATATGAATGAGGTTCAAATTGTCTCTGATACTCTTTTTCTTCTGTCGATGTACATGTAATTCATTAATGATTTTTATTATATTGTCTATTATAAACTATAGTACATTGTTTGATCCATTGTTATTGTTGTATTATTGATTCGCTTTTTAGTCTAATGTCAATGAATCGTATGCATCAAAATAGTTCATAACTGTTTATTTTTGTTTTCTTTTTTTTATTTGATGCACTTTTATGGAGAATTCGAATTTCAAATTTATTTTTATCTCAATTATGAGTAATATTACTTTGTGTGTATGTGTCCGCACGACATTAATGGGAATAATAAAGTGAAATGATAATTCAGTAGTACACTTGAATTTGGATTGAAAGTCAATCTATGAGGCATATTAAAGGAATAGACATTGTTTTATTAATAAAGACGAAAAATTTTTTAACGAATAAGAAAAAATGCCGAATTATGCAATAAAATTGAGAAATGAATAAATCAACTATTATTACACGGATGCATCTTTACTTGATTTTTTTCTCAATTAGACGATGGAACGTTGTGAATCTAAGATAGACTCAACAATCTTTATAAGATTTCCACTGGGAAATTAAGAATAAGGAGAAGGAAGGAGAGGTAAGTCGTTTTATGCCATTGTCATGAAACACAGTTAGTACTTCCTTTTTCTAACTCACATTTTGCACTATATAAACTTGGTATGGTTTAGAAAAAAAATTGTAGTTTGTATCAAAAAATATGCACTTGAAGAAGCACGTTAACATTTGTTTTCCGTTAGTTTTGACTCTCGAAAGAAGGGTTTTCTATCTACTTTACTGAAAAAACAAAATAATGGTGAGGCAGTACCGTTTACAAAAAAAAAGGAATTCAATTGTGGGTTTGCTCACTTTGTTGAAAATGTTTCTTTAACTATTTCAACTTACTCACTGAAGACAAAGAAAACTTTGAGGAGTTTATAATTTATCTAACTCTAGTTTTCAATATAGTTCTTCTTCATATCTAACAAAGGAGAACTACTTCAAGCTATTGGCAATGTAAAACTCAATATTTTCTCAAGAACATTTTCTTAGTCTGATTCATTAAGAAAATGTTTCTAGTTGTTACTGAAGGTGGTGAAAAATTTTGACTTCTACAAGAATTTCAATGCATTGTATAAATCTATCGACTCAATGGAACAAGAAAGTACTGTATGAGTCTATTCTAGCATACAATACCTGAATCTTTCAGTAGGCTTTAGTCTATCCAGACCTCATGACGTCGTCACCTATGACAAGATCCGATGCATTAATAAAATTTTGATCATGTTAACTAAACAGAGTATTAATATTATGTTTTATAGCTTTTGTTTGCATACTTTTTTCTTCTTGCCGCAAGAATTTGATGAAAGAATAAATTTAGAATCGAAGCTGTCGTTCTCATCCTCACAAATGTTGTTCGTTCATAAATGTATCACATGTGAACACGTTTCATAAATCAATAAGTTTAATATTATCAATCTAATATAAAAAATAAATCTCTCATACCTATAAATAAAAAAAATTGTTTTAATAAGAATGTAAATAATAAACGGTGAAAAATTTTTATTTTTCTATAACATACAGGTAAAATCAACCAAAAATCACAATTTATCTTTGCAATAAACAAAACTATCTAACTAAATAATTATAGAAATAGAAATTTTTTTTTTCTTTTCTTTATCGATCTTTCACCTGAAAGCAAGAATTCAAAAACAAAAAACTATTTTTTTTGCTTTCACTTTTGCTCTGTCACACATGACGATTGCCGGAAGTTAATCATATTTTTTCTTTTTCTTCAATATGTATACATTTTGAAAATAAAAAGCAATGCAACTGTTTTTATTCATAATTTTTCTTAGTATATCAATTGTTCAAACACTTGATTATGATATTGATAATCAACAAACATGTACACATAAACCATTTCTAGTTAATTTTCAACATAATTGTTCTCGTACACGATTGATTCAAGATGTTAATATTCCTAATAATGATCAAATTTTACATATATCAATTATTTTGAAATCATCATTAATTAATAGAACATCATTAAATATTATTAAATCATTAAAATATAAACAAAAAATTTATTTGACATTTTTTACAACATTTAAACAATTTATTTCTATAAATAATAAAACAATAATACAATTAAATGAAACAACAATAAGTTCATATTTATATGATACATTCTCGGAAGAATTTATTCAATGGACTAATTCAATATCTATTCCATTAATATCTTATTTTTCCAATCCTTATTGTATATTAAAAGAAAAACGTTTTCTTCCATCAGAAAAAATTTCTCGTATTTATTATTTATATACAAATGAAACAAATCTTAATATAGATTTATCAATGTCAAGTTATCAGATTTCACCATTATTTATTCATTTTAATACATGTTTTTCTATAGAAACACGTCTTACAACACTTGCAATAGTACTTATTGTTATTATTAGTGTTTTAGGTTTTATTACAACTGTTCTTATTATTATCTGTCTAAAGAAACAACTCATTCAATTGTATCATATTGTAGAGAATTGGATACATCAAAAACGTGGTTTGATACCTTCGATTACTATTCATGGTAAACCTTCATCATGATGTATGAACAATATTATGAAGAACAAGAAATCTATGCTTAAATTAAAATCATTTATTTCAGCTAACAAACTTCTTTTTTTTTTATTAACGTGATATTTTCACAAATAATTATATTCTATGATATAAAATTCTATCGCTTTTTTAACGAAACATACTGGAGTATTGATTATCGATTTTGCTGATTCCGAATATGACTATGAGAAATCTTCTTAAGTCTTTATATGTTTTTTGTTTTCTAGATTGAAGAAGAAAGAATACCTCTACCTTTCGGCTACCTTACAGTATAGGATGTTGCCTAGTGGCGAATTCATTAGCTCGGTATCTTTCCTACAATTACTAATAGTTGTAGCTTCAGACAGAAGGCTGGTCTGACGCAGAGTTCTTATACATAATCGCTTAAGCTCTCCGTACACACTGACTAATCACATACTAGCCACGAGGGCAGATGTATGTCACATCTTAGTCAGCATACTATTAGACGGATAATCTGAAACAAATAGCTGTGAATGACTTGTTCAAGATCACGATACCGACATATGAAGACAGTACTCATTCATAGATGGCAAACAACATAATTTAGCCATGTCGTCATGGGTTTTCTAGACTGAAGAAATTTTTGTTTAATCTATCCAGATTATAGAGCAAATCGAATTGTCTAGATAGCGGTAATTAGGAAGCTATGAGCCCATATTTGTGTGAATCAGAACCCAAGCTCGGTCGAGGCTGGATCGGATCTGAAAGGATTCGGAGCTCTCTCACAGTAACTCATTCTGTATCAAATGGTTTTTGTTTGCAGAAAATACAGCCATTTTAATTCATACAACAGATAGATATCAACATTTTAATGCGAAAATTAGCTTTAGAAAAACACGAAAGACTATTAACATAATGACAACCTGGTATGCTCCATAATCTGAATAAATACAAAACTATTTTAGAGCAATTTTTGGTACTCTGGAAAACTGGTTTTCTAAATAAAAACAGTATATGAATACCTAAGAGAATTTCTCGTCGTCGTCATATTCAGAATCATCATGATCGAATGACCCATAGCTCAGTAGCTTTTGATGAGAAAGCAATTAATCGTTTAAAAAAAATTAGTTAATCTCTTACGTAAATGCGATAAAAGAACGAAAATAATAAATACAAATACAATTTTTCGATGATCATTTGATTTATTTTTTTTGTTTTCTACTATTCTCATTCAAATTCATATCTATAGATGAAAACTCTGAATACCAGTTGGTATGATCCTGTGCAGTCTATTTTCGATGTTTGACACTCAAAAACGTTCTTATTGAACATGAAAACTTGAAAATTTGATGTTCAAATTTGCAGCATATAAAGACGTGATCCTGTCCTGTCCGACATCCTACCCTGTAAATACCTCTCGTATCAGCATCCCATGTTGCGTTAATCAACCGTCAATGAACAGCGGTTATTCTGCTTGAATTTTGTTGATATCTCAATGCATGAACTTTTTTTTAACTGTTAGGAAAATGTTAAATCTTAGTCGACATCACGTGAACTACAAATTGTGGGCACGCTCTAGCCGTCTGTATTAGCCACATCGACTGTTCTGACTTAATTTTACGAGTTAGACTAATTAGTATAGGTGGCACCACAAAATTATTCATTAGTCAAAAGATAAAATCAATCAATAGAAAATAATTGCAATGTCATCTAACATAACATGCTGTGACCCACAAAAATTGTCTTTTTTTGGAATAAAATTAATGTTTTTATGGCATATGACATCACCATTAGTAGAAAAAATGGTTCTTCTCTAGATCGACGACACTCTATATACTAATTGGCCTAATTGATAAAACATATCAAAGAATGCGGCTATCGTATTGTCATTGATCCAACCGAGTACTCTATATTTTGACGTACTTTTCGATTATATGATTCATGACATGTAATGCTTATTGACGTAGATCAGGGAAGGAGGTTATACAATAGACTTCTACTGATTGCATGTCGGTTTTATTTACTCAATGATAATAATCGTAATATCAATTAGAATAGTGAAGCAAAGAACAATATTATTCAAAGCTGACAAATAATTTAAAATCTTATCGGATTTATAACTTCAACGAATATTGAGAATAATTTATTTACGGTAGATAAGACTAATTTAACGGTTGGTGTAAAAGTTTTACGTTGATATTGTATTACAATTGAATATTATAAAAGATTTTCATTGGAAAATTGTTTCGCAACATTTTTAATTTAATAAAAACAAAAGTTCACTCGATAGGAAAGTTTATTGTTCTATTCATTCATTCGAAATTTTATAATATAAGGATAGAACACTAATGTTGGACAAAACAAAAAAAAGGAAATCTTCTACATACTTCAAAACGGTTCAAATAAGCGATTTTATAATATCCTCTGATATCATTGATTTATTTTTATTATTGTCAATTTCTTTAATAAAACAATATTATTCGAAATAGAATACACATATTCTCTTTGAGATTTTCAAATAAGAATATGCTCTTATATTGTTAAAATTAAAATAAATTTCTCTAATCAAACTTTTATTATTTAATCTCTCTTGTACATCAAAATGATTATCTCAATGCCACAGGAAATTATTCATAGTAATGAATAACTCTATATAGTTTTTGAAAGTAAGGAAAAGACTTGCGGTTAAAATTGTCGAAGAATTTTCCGATGTCTTAATTGTTTTTGACATTCAAAAAAACATGACTGATGAAAGTCTTTGATTATTATTATTTTAAATATTTTTTTTTTTAGTTTGTTTTAATAATAAAAAAAAACAAATATATATATATAAGAGATTAAATTTTTTTAATAGAAACACTTCTATGAGGACATTTTTTTTCTAAACCTAATAATATATCGAACTATTCAATAACTGACAGCTGTCAAGACAAGATATTTAGATGACACATGCATGTAAAATTCAATTATTATCATTCATTTTTCTTCTTTGTACTGGAAATTCTTTTTCCAGGCTTATAGATTAGATCAAACAATCCAAATTTTGCGTTCTAATCTTCAATATACAAACAATGAACATTTCAAGATAAATATATATATATAACTCTAATTATTTCAAGTTAAATTTCTATAACAGATTAAATTTCTCATTTTCAAATGGCTACATCCTAATTATGGACTTGCTTTTGGGTAATTAATAAAAAATATCCACAAAGTAGAATTAACGGAGAGGAACATAAAAATGACTACACATTAGAAAACATGGACAAAATGGAATCGAAGAGAGAGAGAGAGACAATAATGGTTGTATTGTAGAACCAAGACAAAAATTTTGTTATGTGAAGCAATATCAATAATAAAACATAATTGTATATTTTATTTTTATTAGATTCATAATTAAGATCATCTTTGTCAGTTGTATCGAATAGAATGATATATCAATAACAAAAAAAGAACATAATCTCTTTTAATATATCTTATCTCAACCGAAAGACTTAGATATGCTGGAAGATGAGAATTTAATCGACCATAATATCCTGCTGCTTGATTGAATTCTAAAATGAGGAAGGGGAAATAGAACATGTTTAATACATGCACGAAAAATATCATCAATTAATTTAAGTCTTCCTTTAAAAAAAAAAGTCAATTTTCGTCGGAAAAATCGAAATTGAAATGATAACTCGAGGTCTGATCTTTCATAAACGATATGATTTTTTTTATTTCACACATCGTTAATAATTTCCGTGATCTTCTATATTAAAAAAAAAATGTTTTTTTTTCTCTATTTTATGCTTTTCTAATCGTACAACCCACAATTCTCGAAGGAATTTCATAGTAGCCATTTGTTTTTTTGCTTACAACAGAATATGAAGCTGCAATGCACATTTTTTAAATAAAGCTTTCTTATTATTATATAAAAAAAAAAAAAGTACTACTATAAATAGATAACTTGTTTTCGAGGTATTAAACTTCTCATCTTTCCTCTCTGCATAAGAAGTAAAAATTAAAAAATAAAAGGTATTGCAGTCTAACATAGTCTTTCAGATGAGAAAAAACAATTAAATCTATAGAATGAAAACCCACAGAGAATAAATAACCTATTTTTGATCCTTGTAGGTTGAATATCTTTCAAAAATTTTATGATACAAGATTGAAAATTTCAGTATAGACTTTTCACTATAATCTCAATATATCCTGGAAATTTTAGAATGCACTTGACCCAAGATTGATTATTGTAGGCAGACCTTGAGAAAATTTTGATTTACGTAATATAATAAAATGCTAGATTAATTTCTCTTGAATCAAGCTATCTAAACTGATCATCTTATTATATCTATGTTTGCATGTTTACATGATGCGTACATTTTTTTTTCTCTTTCTCTCATCTTCTATGATCCGGCGCTTTGCCAACATTTTTTCTCTATCTTCCTTCTATTCCGCTTTGCGGACATTTTCTTTCTTCCAATTAAAGAAAAATGTTCGCAATCAAGAAGTCAAGGATTATGAAATGAATTCTATGCAATAATTAATTATGGATATAGTTAAGCTGCGAGCATATTCAAATAAAAATTGTATTTAAAAATTAGACGAAAACAAAAAAAAGAAAAAGAAAAAAAAGAATAGTTCTTTTGGTTTTCACACACATACACGCATAGACAGACAAATGTCTTTCTTTTTGTTGGTTGTCTTTTTTTTACACAAGTTGGACTGGTGCAACATCACCTTGTTTTTTTTTTATGTTTCTCAAACGTACATACATATTCAAAAAAGAAAAAAAAAATACGAACAATAACTAAAAACAAAGATGAGCAACAAACGACAAAATCAAACAGGAGAAAAAAAGATGTTTCTTGCTCGATTTTCTGGTTTTTTTTTTTTTTGCTGCAATTTTAATCATTTCTCATACATAGTATGACAATGATACTACGACTACCAATGATAAATATAAACGAATAAATAAATGTGTAAAAGAATAATTACAAACAAATAAACAATAGACAAAAAAATAATAAATAAAATAAACTCATGTTGTTTTGTCTTGTTGTTGAGGTCTTATTGTTGTTTGTAATGGAGGAGTTGACATTTGAGAAGACAAATGAGTTCGAAAAAATGCTCCTTTTTGATCTAAAACGAAAAATAAAAAACAAACAAATTAATTTCTAATTAAAATTTCAAATTAATTTACTGCAATCAAGATTTGCTGATAATGAATTATGTCCTGTTACTCCAGATAAATCTTTTCCACCAGTTGGTTTTTGTCGTCCTTGAATTGTATTTTGTAATTGTTTTCGTACAAATTCACTAGTCGATCGAACAGGTTGAAAACTATCAAGGAAAAAGATACAATAATTATCAATAGAAAAAGAAAACCAAAAAAAGAAAAAGAAAAAATTTTTTTTTTTTTTTATGATTTAATTTACCTCAAACAATTCATCATTTGATTATTGAGTTCTTCTGATTGACGACATTCAGCAGACGTTAAATTAGGTATTGATGGATTCATGAGATTATTTGAATCTAGATTATATAAATCTATTGATTAAATAATTAAATCCAAAAGAAGAAGAAGAAAAAAAAAGAACTTACTATGTGAATTTTGTTGTATAGTTGCCGAAAGAGCTACACTCATATTAGGATATGGCTAAAACAATAAAAAAAAATAGAATTATCAGATGAAGTTTAATATTTCTTCAATATCTATTACTAATTTTTGATTTTGATCTTATCGTATATAACTTAGTTGTGGAAGTAATAAGAGAATCATTTCCCCTTGTTTTTTTTTCCTCTATTCTATCAGATGAGCTCATTTGTTCTATATATTTCTTCAACCAGTGTCAAGGTCTTCTTGTCCAATATGTCATATGAAGCAAAAAAAGAAGAGAAGAAGTGTTGCCTTGAACTTAGAAGCACAAACGAGAATGAAAGAGTAGAAATTCGAGGACATCCGCCAATGAATAAGAATAGTGCTTCTCGGTTTTTCTTTTTTTTTTACATTCTATGTCAGTTACTCAATCCTGATCATGTATACGATCATTAGACCAGAGAAGAGATGAAGAAGGAAGAAAAAAAATAGGGAGGAGAGAGAACGGAAGAAGAATGAACTATTTCTTATGTTCAATTAATCGAATTTCTTAGCAAACAGATGACCGATTTATTCACTCAACGTCATGAATACAAACTCAAAGACTATATCTTTATTATTTATTTGATATATACATGTACAATCATTACTAATATCATGTTAATAGAAGTAAGTAAATATTATGTGAGCAATTGATTAACCCGAATTCGTGATCTCTTTTTTTTTTTTCTTGTTCAACAACTACCTTGACCTCTTCTATTTATTTTTTCTTGAGCCATGTATCAAAGATGAATATGAATAGATTATATTGAATATTTACTATTATATAATCATGACTTTTTTCGAGAAAAAATTGGAATCATATAACATTTAAATATAAAATTTTATCTTTCTCTATTACATTTTCTTTTTCTATTCTCTTGGTATTATTTCTTGATTCTAGGTTATTCTAATCAGAAATAGGACCTTGAAATTGTCAAGAAACAAACAAAGAAATAGTTCTTTTCTCTGAAGCCTTGAATAGAAATATAATAGAAAGAGAGAGAGAGACCGAGAGAAAAACAGAGAAAAGAAGTACGAATGGGGTTTTTTGTTTCTTGCATTTTCTCTTCATCTATTTTACGTCATAACGAGATTATGGTACGCACTAGCAACAGATATTTATACTTTTTTTTTTTGTTATCAAGCATATGTTTATTCAAAATAATATTTCGTTTTTTCTTTTTTATTTTATCTTTGAGTCCTTGTAATGAAGATATAAATATCCAAATATAGAAAAATTCTTTGTACGTAATTGTTCTTTAGAAAACGAACGATAAAAGAAAAACCAAGAGAATCTAATCAATCAAAATAATGACCTGCTAACATTTCGTAGATAATATGTGTAGTTTTTATCGGTAAATAACACGAATATAAAAAAAGATACTGATTCAGTTGTTTCTGTTTTTATTTCTTTGTTTATAAGATATATCTTTTTTTTTTTTCTTCTTTTTCTTCAAAGGACGTAAATATGTTGTTAATAAGTACTATTTATTGATCTGTCATTTGACAATAGACAAGGAAAAAAAAATGAGCCATCATAACTTTTATAAATAGACACAGACAATCTTTGCCTTTTTTTTAACGTAAGATAGTCAACCAGAGACACGAGAAAAACGGTTTTTTATTATATATTCTATTATTGGTATAGTATATTGAATATATTTTTACTTATTTTCTTTTTATAGGATGATAACAAATGACAATAATGATTTATATATTAAAAATCGATTTATTGTGGTTTTTTTTTTGTATTCTATCATCTTATATCGGGACATTACTTGTGATTCAATGTCTGAGTACTTTCAATAGTCGAATGCCAATACAAGGTAAGCGTAGAATAAAATGAAAAAGATATTCTTTAGATACGTTTATTTCTTTTTTCGTTCTATTTATGTCCTTGACATTGAAAATTTATATCCTTTCTTATTATTTATAGATTGAGTAATATTTTCAAGAAAAAAAAAAAAAAGAAGAAATTGTCCTATAATAGATTATAAAATTCTAATACGTAATTTGTATTTTGTTCACATCAAGAAGAAAATCTTCAATTAGATGAGAAAAAAAAAATATAACTTAATCCGTTAATAGATAGGTAATCTATATACTAGTTATTGTTTTTTTTTTTAAATATTAAGTTAATATTAACAAAACATGAAAAATAATAAATATTTTTTTTTCTTATTTTTCACAGTCATATTCCATTATTTCTAGTTACTTAGATATGTACCTTATAGTTATTTAATATGTCATCTGTCTTATAAAAGAAAGTCATGAATGTATGCTTTTTATTTTTCTACTTCATGCTTTGTCTTAAAATATCTAATTCAATTAAGTTAAATTTTCTATATACATCATTTAATTAATTGATATTTATTATGTATATTAATTTGATCAAATAATCTCGTGTTTTATTTTTAACATGCAACATTTATAAATTGATCTGAAGTAATTATATAAGGATTCTTATGAAGAATGATGGAAGAAAAAAAGAATAAAATGATTGATAACTCAGAAAGTTTCTTTTTTTTTTTTGTATTAAAAATAGCAAAAAGAAAAAAAAAGTACTCAAACAAAGGTCATTATAACGTAAATCCTTTTTGTTTGATTCATATTTTATCAGTAATATAATCAATCGCATTTTCTATTTATAAAGAATTAATTTCGATATATAAAAGCCAAAAAAAGAACAAAAACGATATAATTAAGATTTAGTTAAGAGTCAAAAACTTGAAGGTTATTTAATAAATATTAAGAGAATAAATTGAATTAGATAATGAATTAATCAGATTAAGTATATTTAAAGCTTTCCCCTCAAAAAAAGTTATTTTTCGTCAGAATGGTCGAAATTAAGATAAATGCATGGAAAGATAGTTCGTCATTTAATCTTTCATAAACGATTCCTTTTCCTCCCTTAAAAAGTAAGAATTAAAGAAAAACAAGGCTCTTATAGAAACTGCATTCTAACATGCTCTTTCAAGCAAAAAATATTAAATATATAGAATGAATCTGGATAGAGAAATTTGGTTTGCCAAATGAGCTATATCTGACCCTTGTTTAGTCAATATCTCCCTCAAACATCACGATATCGAGCTGAAAATTTTACCATAGTTGCTCTACTACAGTCTCAACATATCCTGAAAATTTTAGGCCATTTGAATATTTCTAGGCTAAGATCGATTTTTGAGAGAGAAGTCTTAAAAAAAAATGTATTGTCTTTATTTCGAAAGAAATGCATATGTTCTATATATTTTTATACGGATAACTTCAATACGTCATTAGCTCGAATTTAATTATCGAAGTTTTTCCATTAGTAAACTTGTACAAATGAGATTTGCACCAGAGATGTCCATGGCAGCGCTGTCGCTGCCGCGATGACATCAGAGGCAGGTTGTTTTAAAAACCATCGCGGCGCAAGAGATATCTCATGAATACCATCGCGACAACTGCACGACAACGGTAACTTTTTATATAGTTCACCGTGTCGTGACAGCGGTGCGGTAAATTTAGATTTCAGTCGCGTCGTAGTAGCCTTGTCCCTTCTAGGACTGCGTCATGGCAGTAGTACTGAGCCTTGTCTCTTCTAGGGCAGCGACAGATTTCTAGTCACAATAGACATATCTGATTTTCACATCGTACAGTGATTTCATTAATATATATATAAATGCTATCAATTGATCTCATAGTATAATTAGATAAATTTCAATCGTTACACATGCTATTACAATCAATATTAGTATTCTGATTTTTGTTTGTGTGTACACGTTATAATTCGTATCTATAATTAGGTAGCAAAAAATTAGTTTAATTTATGTTTTGATGATATTGTTAGATTTATTATTAGTTTCAAGAAAATATACCTGATGCATTGTAGCTTGTGGATGTGGAGGAGGTAGAGATGGTGGTAGTGGCGGTGGAGGTTGTTGATGTGGATGGACATTTATATGACGATTTTGCATCGATTGTTGCCCCATAGTTGATGATGGTGACATAAAATGATCAGAATTATAGGGAAGATCAAGTGAATTATTATTTGAATATTGATGATAGTCTTGTTGCAATGATGGCATATTATTATTTGACATCATTAAATCATTATATGTATTCATTATAGCTAAAATAAATATAATTAAAATTAACTTAAGGCTTTCCTTTGTTTTTTGTTATTGTACAACATACGTCGATGTGTTAGTTGTTGTTGCTGTTGTTGTTGCTGTTGATTTGTAATCATCTAAAGAGGAAAAAAACAAATAAATAGAATTTAGAATAGTTGATTTTTACATGTGGTAAAGTAACATTCATAGACATATGAAATTGAACTTGTTGTTGATGTGCTGAAGCTCTTTGTTGTTGGTGGTGTTGGTGTTGTTGTTGTTGTTGGTGTTGTTGTTGTTGTTGGTGTTGTTGTTGTTGTTGTTGTTGTTGTTGTTGTTGTTGTTGAATTAATGTTTGTCGTTTTGCTAATGATGATGGATGATGATGATTACCAGGTGATATTCGTTGTTGTTGATTTGTTGATGATGGTGGCATTGAATAATAGCCAGGAGTAACTTGATTTGATGATGATGTTTGAACATAATTATTATACATTGGTGGTGGTTGTTGTTGTTGTTGTTGTGAAGTTTGACGATAAATATTATTTGGTGTTTGTCGATGTTGAATATGTGTGTCCGATTGTTGTGGATACATTATCATTGAATTTGTATTCATAAGTGTTGTTGTTGTTGATGGTGATGAATAAGAATTATTCATAGGTGATAGTGTTACATTTGGAGGAAATGAACCACCATTATCAAGTAGATCCATTGAAAGACAATCAGAAAATTGAGTATTCTAAAAAAATTAAAAGAAAAAAAATCAATTTATGAAGAGATTAGAATTTTTAAAAAAAATTTAAGAGGAAATTTTTATTACATTTAATGAATATGGAAATGTTGATGAAGGTAGTGGAGCAGATGGTTGACAATAAATTGTTGATAATGGATCATGATTAACTGTTCGATTTGATGGAATTGTATTCGTATTTTCAGTAAAAAGAAAGTCACCGGTAATAGAATCTTAAAAATAAAGAAATAGTAATAAATGAAAATTAGTTTTTTTTAAATTTTTATTACTAGAAGAATTATTATCAACAGTTAAAGAATCCATAGTTAATGATGATTGTTGTGATGAACCTAAAGAAAAATAAAATATTTTAAAATGTTTTTTTTGTTTGTTTTTGTTGTTTACCGGGATTAAATGAAGTTAAAAGTGTTTTATAAATTTCACTAATAGCTTTTTCATCTTTTTCACTACGTTTAGTTATTGTTGTTGTTGTTGTTGGACATGTTTGTTCCATAAGACTTGTAGAATTTTGTGATAATATTGAATCAATTGCTGTTGAATCATTTAAACAGTCAAGAAATTCTTTATTTTCAAATAATGATGTAAAATCATCATTTGTATTATTTGCTATTGTTGCTGAATTAAATAATTCATTAGCTATAGCTGTTATACGATTATTATCATTAATTATTTGTTGTTTATTTGTGTGTATCAATGATACTTCATTTGGTTGTTGAGGATCAGAATTTAATAATGCTGTTAAATAATCATCTTTAGATGAATTAATATTAATATTATTATTATTATTATTATTATTATTATTATTATTATTATTTGTTCTTGGTGTTTGAGATAAGACAGGTGTTAAATATTGTTCAAATGGATCAATTGTATTATTCATTGATGATTGACAAGAAAATAATGAATTATCATTTGTTGATGTTGTATCAAAATGTTCTAATAAATCATATAATGGTCCATCTTTTTTTGTTATTATTGATGGTGTTTGTGGTGTACGAATTGATGTACGCATTAATGATGAATTTATATTATTAGTTAACATTGTTCGACAAAGTTGAGATTGTGATAATGGTGAAGATTTATCAAATTGTGAATTATGATCATATTGTTCAGGTTCATTTTTAATTATTGATTGAGATGACTAAAAAAAAAAAAAAGAATTTTATAATAAGATAATTTAAGTTTTAGATTTTTAATCTTAATTTAAACAAAGAAAAGAAAAAGATCATTTTGCAGTTCTTTTTTATTTTCTTGAACAAAAAAAAAGAAATCCTATCTTTGATCTAACGAGAGAATATATCCAAATGTCAAAATTGATTTTGAGTTAGAACTATGTGTATTAGTATCTCAACAACGATAAACTAATAGTCTACATTCTGTAGACAATTCTACTTTTTTAAACTAACCTGACTAAGTAGTTTAGTAGCAGCAATTGCTGTTGATGGTGAAATATCTTGACATTCAATTTTAAAATCTTTTTGTAATGCTTCTGTAAGTAATTTTGAACATTTTCTTGGATTTTGTAAATGTTCATCATTATCAGATGAACGTTTTAAACTCATTGTTGTCGTATGTGATGTTTGTCGTGTTGTACGACGATGTATATTAGGTGATGTTTGTATTAATGGTTGATCAAGATTTGCTGATGAATCTAATAGAGCATCAAGTGATCCATCTGATAATGTTGATGGTGGTGTTTGAATACGTGCTGTTGTTGTTAAAAGATACTCAGTTGGCTAAAAGAGAAAAATATTTTTAAAAAAATTTTAACATAAACAAAAATATTTACATTTCGTTTTGGTCTACCAGGTTTTCTTGGTATAGGATTATTTTGATTAGAAAAATTCATTGAATTTTGTCGTTGTTTTTTCTTTGTTTTAACATCAGATATCTCTGATAATTGTGTTTTTATTGTTAAACGTGTAGTATTAATATTATTATTTTTTGTTTTATTATTTTCAACTAATACATTTGTATTATTTGTTGAATATGGTTGTGTTACTTGTCGTGCACCAATTGCAAATGGTGTATCAACAACAACTTTTTGTGGACGTACTTCATCTTTAAGTAATGTCTAAAGATAAATAAATAAAAAATAATGCATGTAAACGTTGATGAATTTGCATGATTTCGTATCAATAGATAGAGGATTAGATATAATATATTTTGAAAATTTATGATACTGTTGTTCAAAAGCGAAAGATATTTGAATGGGAAATTTTTTTTCTTGATTGTAGATTCGAAATTCATATTTTTTAAAGCTAGACTTGCTCCATATAAGTTCCATTGTTATAGGTCGGAAATTATGAAGAGGATCTTTTGCGATCAAAAACTATCTCCTTCCGATTTCAATTCCTATTGATATTTGACTAAACTATGGAATTTTTATCTGAAACTACACACATATAGAAAAGTTTTTGAACCAAGTCTCTTCGAGATATGACACTACTCATATCTTGAAGAGATTTTATTCAAAACTTCTGAATTTTTTTGCTAATCAAATTTTCTATACACGCAAAATTTCAGATCAAAATTTTAAAATACGAGTTTTCCGAAAACTTGAAGTTCAGAAAAAATGGATATAAAAAAATTCGATAGCTTACAAGGGAAACTTCTATATATCATCAGTAGAACCCCGACGAAACTAGTAGAAGTCTATAAGAACTCATCCGTATGCGCGATTTCTTTCTAAGTTATTACTTCGATTTTTCCATAAATATTTTTCATTAGAAGTAAAAAACTCTAATCACTTGAGAAGAACAGTGCATAAAAAGAAAACTTTATAGATTTCTATTGATCTCATCGGGATCAACTAATAAGCAAAATATTAGTTGAGTCACATTTCAAACATCTTCCCTCGTTAGTCAAATTCCAATAGAAACCTAAATCTATGTCTTTATTTGAACACTATAGGCATAGAAAAAAAAAATCATTGAAATCGAAAGGAGATATCTAAGAAGGTTTTCTCATGATATAAAAACTAAATTTCTTAATAATATTTATATTGCTTAAAAAAAATAAAATAAAAATATTGTATTATGAAATTTACTCGAAGGAAAATATCGCTACGTTGTTTATTTGTTGCTTGTCCACTTGATGAACTATCATCACTATGATTTGATTCTGTTTTAACAGGTGATGTTGAAAATGAATTTTGTCTTCCTAAAATTTTTTTAAGTAATATATCATTTGAATTATTTTGTTCATTTAAAGTCGAACTATTTTTTCGTCGACGTTTTGCTGTTGTTGTTGTTGTTGTTGATGATGATAATTCTGTTGTTAATGGTGATAAATGTGTTGTTGTTGGACTTTCTGGTCCTTGTATAAAATCTTCAAATTTTGTATCTGAATGATATTGTAATGTTTGTAATTGATTTTCATTTGTTGATGGTGATTTATTTGTTAATAATTGTCTTAAACGTGTTGAACCACGTGTTAAATGTGATTTTGGACTTGATGATGCTGATGTTGTTGTATAAATATCATTATTAGAAATAAATGGTGATGACATTTTTGGATTTGTTGGTGATAATAAAAATGAATTTAAATCATTCGAATTTGTTGGTACTGATGATGGTGAAGAAAAAAATAAATCAAAGGCATTAACTGGTGATGAGAGACTACCATGATTGGAATGTACTAAATTATTATGAATAAAAAGAAAATATAAAATGATGATTTTTTTTTTTTTTTTTTTGTTTTGAAGAATTTTACCAGAGCCTAATGAAGGACTAAATGGTGTTCGTTTACTACCAAATTCAACGGTATCTGATGAAGAAACATCTATGAATAAAATAAGAAGATTTATTTTATTTTGTTTTGAATAAATGATTTTTTTTTTAAATATTACTTTCATGTGTAGATGATGTTTTTTGAGCAATTAATCGATTTGGTATTGGTGAAAGTGTTGGTGTTGGTGGATGTTGTTGTTGGGATTGAATTTTTTCATTTGGACTATTTATTGGTGGTGTTGATAATGAATTTTGTACTTGTATTAATGTACCTAATGTACTAGATACATGTTGTTGTAATGAACTTGATGCATGTTGATTTGCTCCTAACATAGTTAAAGCAAATTGTGTACCAATTGGTGATGATGTCATTGTTCTATTTGATGTTTGTTGTTTATTTCGTTGTAAATCACGATTTGATGAAATAATTGATTTCATTAAACGTGTTGGTGCATTACCATTTAAATCATGCATATTTTCAATTAAACTAAATAAATCGAGATATATATATATATATAAAGTTTGTTTTTTTGTTGTTGTTGTTTTTTATTTACCGAACAATTGTATGTGTTGATAATATAGAATCTGATTTACTTGTTGTTGAATTATGAAATAATTTACTTCGTGTATTTATAAATGCATAAACATTATCATGAAGACAAAAACGATATACAGAACTCTTGCCTTCACCTTTTTCAATAACTAAAATAATCAAGAGAATTTATTATTATTATTATTTTTTTAATTTAAATATAATTCTATTCATAGATAATGAAACTTTTAGACTTGTGGGGAAAGTCACAGGGGAATTTTTTCAAGTGTGTTAAATCGAGATAATATTCATTTGATGAGTTATAGAAAAGTTTAGATGTTTTGTATACTAGATAAGCAAAAGCTTACTCAATGAATTAATCTAATTGAAAACTTTATCTATGGGAAATTTGAAGTCGAAAATCGTTTTTTTTTTTTTGGAAAAGTCTAGTAAAATTTCGATATCTCAAGAATGAAAATCCGGAAAAGTAAATCATTCGAAAATTTTCTATTACTTATCAAATAAACATTCAAGAATGTCTATACTAGTCAAAAAAAAATTTTTTGCTCTGCGACAAGGTTTCTTATCTGTACTCCTACTCTCCTTACGCCTCTCGGTTGAAAAGTGATTTAATACCTGAAGGAATTTCGTCGTTCAATTGTTGTTTATATCATGAGCATTAGATTGAAATAGATAAAATAATAAAAGTGTGGTTTTTTTTTGTAAGGTGTCGTCTATTATAATTCTCTTGGTGTCTTTTTACCCGTAGTTTGAGAAAGCATAACTGGTTGATGACAATCGTTGTGTCATATCGAAAGAAATGAAAAACACAATAATGGTTAAAGATATGCAACAACTGTTCCTCCTATTGACGTCACAGAATAGTTGTTTTGACGGGTGGAACGTTAAAAAATATATTATTAGGAACCGGGTTAAGTTGACCTGAACTGCAAGACATCTTGACATTACTACTACTCCTATGGTTCTGTGGTTGTCTGTCATTTTCTATAGTTCATTACGGAAGTTATTTATTGTTTCCGTTTAATTTACTCATATGATTAGTTGTTAAAGGATGTGTCGGTTTTTCTTTCCTTCGATGTTGTCGGCCTTGTGGGAAAGTTTCTTTTTTTTTTTTTTTTTTTTTTTCTAAATGTTTCGATTTAATAGCCGGGAATTCTAATCTTAAGTTTTAATTTTTTTTTTTTTATTTAAACGAACGTTTTGTATAATAAAATCATTATTTAAATCGATTGATATTATCTTTACAAATTTATCATCATGCGTCATGAAAATTTCAGATATCATTTGTGGTTTTTTTGCGTAGGGAAAACTTCGGAAAAAACAACCGCAAATAATCAGATACCATAAATAGAATACATCGATCGAATTCAGTCTTTTTTTTATCAAGAAAATTCAAAAGTACGAATAGAATTTCCGTTTTTCTAATAGAAAAATAATTGATTTTCTGACCGAAATTCAACAATGACGTAAAAGCATTGCTATGATCCGGCACTAATATAAAGAGACTTGCGAGATTAAAGTCGATTTAATTTCTTGTTTATACTCTTTTTCTTTCGATATGAAAAGTGTATCCATCAATGTTAAGATTTAATTTGTCAATATTATTTTTAATTCATTTTAAGAACTAAGAAATTTGCTAAAAATATGTTATTATAAGATAATTTTATAGTCGTTTTATAATGATAAATTAAAAAGAAATTTTTGTGTTCGATTAAAAATAGTTCGAGTCATAGACACTTTGATGTCTACATAAAGAACTTTCCAACTTTAAAATTATATGAGTAAGATACTTATATACAATTGTCTTTGAAATACTGATCTTCTTTGTAAGATATAATCAAACTTCTGAACAAAAAACAAAAAAAAAAGAACATCGTGCTGATATTCAAAATAAAAAGTATTCTTTTCGTAATAAAAGTCAAAGGCTTAATTCAACTTTTTCATATTCTTTTTAAAATCATGTCGAATACTTTCAGTATTACTTATGCAAAAAAGCATAATCTAAGAAAAAAAAGTCAGATACGTAGAAATTCAGGTTTTTTTTTCCAATTGAGTAATCTTCATTAATAGTTTTCTTTTTTTCTGACATTAAAAAAAACAAAACAAGTGCCTATGTGAAATTATTCTATCTTACCTTCTTGAAAATGTCGTTCAATCGATGGAATATCATGACTATAAACATAATCACGAAAATTTTTTCCTTGAAAATTCATATCAATTGTTTCACTTTTCATATGACTATAAAAAAATTAACTTCTTATCTTCTTATTCAAAAAAAAAAAAAAAACGAATTTACCTTGAATCTAAATTTTCAATATCATAATTTAGATTAATTCGTGATGAAAATTGATCAAAACCAAGTAATGATGGTTTATCAGTTGGATCATTTAATGATGGACGTCGAGCAATACATATTAAAAATGTTTTATCACTACCTAATGAATCACGATGAAGTGCAACAGATATAACCATACGAACATATGGTGTAGAATCTTCAAAACAAAAACAAAAAAGACTGGTTTTGTTTTTATTCTTAAATAAATAGTAGACGAAAGAAAACAGACCATCATTCGTTCGCATACGACAATGAAACGTACGTCCACGTGACTGAATTGTTTGTTGCTCATTATTATTAATCAGTGCAGCTAAACCATCACCTATTATTTTACGACGATAATATTATTTAAATGAATATAAAACAAACAAACAAACAAACAAACCGGCATCTTTTTTTGCCCAAGCCTTATTAAATTCACTAATATCATTCGGGTGTACAAAATAATATAGACTTCTTCCGGCAAGTTCTTCCTTTATAAATACAAAAACAAAAATTATATATTTATAAATAGAAAATTTTTGTTATTTCTTTTATTTTTTAATAATAATATTTACTTGAGAAAATTTTAAATACTGTCCAACATTATCGCTGACAAAATCAAGTTCAGAATTATGATTGACTGTAAAGAAAAACCCATCGAGAGCCTAGAAAAAAAAAAAAAAAAAACAAATAAAAAAAAATGAAGTTCTATTGATTTTATATTGTTTTTATTTTTTGTTTTGTATAACTAGAATACATATATATTCTAGATTAGGCTATTACCAATCGAATACTCTGTTCAATAAATTGATCGATATTTGTCGATATATTCGGTTCACTTATACCCATAATCAAATTTTTGTCAATTACCATTAATAATAATCTGTTTGATCGAAAAGTAAATGACAGAAGAGGAAAAGAAAAAAAAACCGATTTTCATGTCCTGTTTTTACAAACAATCTTGTAATCATCATCATTATCGATGCAAAAGTGCACAGACAGCTATAAAGACACACACACACACACACATATTATCAACACTGAAGAGAGCAAGGAGAATGTATTTCAAAGGAAAGAAAAGAAAAAAGTAACATGTAGCGGCTGCGAACGCTTTTCCTTTGTCTTACTGTTTCAATCTGCATAATGCACCATCACGCGCAGAGGCATACGTTATAGAGTGTGTAATAATTTTTTTTCATCGTTGTCATCGCTATTCTTTCAACGCACAAAACATCTACAAGATGGTAAAAAAGAAGCAAAAAAAAAAAGAAAAGAAAAGAAAAACTAGTAACATTCGTTCATTGAAAGACTATTCTTCTCAGCTTTTTTTTTTCTTTTCTTTTTCTTCTTCTTCTTCTTTCAACATGTTTATAAGTTGACAGAATCTAAAGACTTAAGATTCACTAATTATTCTGTCTATCTCTTCTTCTTCTTCTTTTTTTTTCTTCTATCTTGAGTAAAAGATAAGATATGCTTCTTTTTGCTATTCGTTAGAAGAAAAAAAAAACAGAAACAAAAATACTAATAAAAATTTAAACATACCTCAAAAAGTAGCGGTCCAAGAGCATCATAAGCCAGTAATGCTGGTCGTGATGATGATACATCTGATTGTTGTATAACAGATGCTGAATCAATTCGTTGTCTATTATTGTTTAATGGTGAACATGCCGGTTTAATAACTGTTGGTGATGATGTTAAACCAATATCATCCATTCGTAGAATATTATTTGAACATTCTATTAATTAGAAAGATAAAAAAAAAAACAAATCTTCTGTTGTTTTTTATCAATGTAAATTCTAACAGAACAGTTTTTCCTACTCATATTTAAGACGAACAAAAAAAAAAGACGAGGGGGGGGGGAAAGGAAAGCTGAATAAATGTACTGATGCGTATAAAGGGTATGATACATATAGGATATATTTTTTTGTAATCGGTCAGAGAAAAAAAGAGAAAAAGGTGTAAGGTGAGAGAATATATTAACATAATATAAATTTTTTTTTTGTATATTATAAACTTACATGATTCTCTTTTATATCATTAATAATATAAAATAATAAAACAAAAAATGACAAATGATAAATAACCCGATATATAACTCGAAATCAGTAAAACACGTAAATACTATAAAAATGATATTTTATTTTTCTTTGATCGTTGATTTTAATCACATATAATTTTTTATGTACAATAAAAAAAAAACAAATTATAATAGTCTAAAGTAAGAAAAAAAAAAATAAAAATAAGGAAGTTGTTTTTCAAAAAATTTTTTTATTTTCTTTTTCATCTGAAGCAATGAGTGCATCATCATCATGATCAGCCGACATACACCATTGTATATGATGAATAAGATGAGAATCCTCCTTGAGAAAATATGATATTCATAGGTCGAAATTTTTAACCAATCAAAAAATAAAACGAATTCGTGAATGAATATAAAAGTTAAAAACAATGTTTTATACATGATTTACTGTCTGTACAATTGAGTTTTTTTTAATCATAAACAAAAATATATATATAATTTTCGTTATTAAATGTTTGAATATTTGGTGATTGAATTAAAATATTTTCTAATTAATCATTTTCTTTTATGGTGATGTACTTTTCGTTGTTTATTTGGATGAAAAGAAGTGATGGAATAATTAGCGGATGCTACGAGACAAACTTTTTACGAGCTTCGAATTGTATCCGGGAATTGTTCTATTAACCGAAAGAGATTTAAAGATGTCGTTCTACGGAATTCTCCTGCAAGATTCTAGTAGCATGAGTAGAATGCGTGTCGTTTCTATACCATCAAATCTCACACCCACACTCAGCTAATTATGTAATCAATGGATAGTACATTCTATATAAGGAAAATAAGATTGGTTTATTTTTGTTGTTTCTATCAATAGTTCTAATAGCAGATGGATTAACGAGTAAATCTTTCCAGTTGTTGTTTTTCGATTTCAATGATTTTTTTTGTCAATAGTGCTCTAATAAAAATCCTAAAAGGATTTGACTAAGTTATTGAATTTCTTTGTTAGTAGTCTCATGTTTTCGGAAAACTCATATTTTCAAAAACTTGGAGTCTCTAGAAAGAAATTCAATTAGATGGAGGATATCTGAGAAGGTTTCCTCGTAAGCAAAATATATAAAACATCTGCTATTTTACATTTTTCGAAGAGGAATATTTATTAAATAGTCAGTTTAACTTTTTAGAATTAATCAAAATTCTTTTCTTTTTTTTTGTTCTGTTGAAACGAGCAATGCCTAACATGGAGAAAAAGCTAGAAATAGGATCCATATTAAAACTTTATCAATATCAACTTTAATAAAATATTTCATATACTTTGCTTACGAAAAGAGTTTTGTTGTGCATTTTTTATTAGCACAAATTGATCGGCAAAAAAGTGTTACTCTTTTTTTTTGTTTTACTAAGAATACAATTTGAATAATTATATTATTTATTAGATAAAACTAGAAAATATGATTTAGAATACAAAAAAAAAAAAAAGATTCTATTCGTCTAAGTTAATAATGATTTGCTTTGAATATTGATGAATGTATTGTTTAATAACTATTTATTCATAAACAATATTCTGATTTTTTTTAATTTCATTCAAAAAATTCAAATCTAAAATTTATTTATCAAGATTTTGTTGTTTATAGATAATAATCTTAAATGAAAAAATAATTATGAAAAAATTCATTTTCTTAATTTAAAAATAATGTCGGACTTTTGGACTCAATTAATAGAATATACAAATGTAATCGAAAATGAAACACTTGATATTGATAATCCAGAACATCTTTTATCAAAACTTTTAACACATGCTGAACATGAACGTGAATTACTTGAAGCTCAAGTCGGAAAACAAGAAAAAGAATTTCGATTTTAATTTATTCATTTATTCTTTTCTTTTTTTTTTTGATATAGTTTAATCCAATCTCATCAATAACAAAAGAAAATCTTTCAATAGTATCTCAATTACAAAATGGTATATCAATGGCTAAAAAACTTCTTGAACAACATGAACAACTTCGAATTCAAGAACGTAAATTAGCAATTGAAATTAAATCACATGAAAATAAAGCTGAATTAAATGCACAAGATTTTCGTACAACTGTTAAACGTTTAAATAATACAGCTAGAATTATTGATTATCTTCATTGTCTTGAAACACTTTTAAACTATAGGTATTTCAAATATTTAATAAAAATTATTTAAGAAATTTCATTCTTAGATTTGAACTTCATTTAAACATAAGATATGAAGAGATTAGATTTAAAATTGAATTTTCTGAAGAAGTTTAACTTTTTTAACAGAACGATATGAAAGAAATATTGAAGTGTAGACCTAACATTTCAGATTAGTCTCTTTAATTTTTACTGACTAGAGCTTATCGGATGCAAAACTTTGGATCCGGATCTGAACAACGCTACTAGTTTTGACGAAAATTGTTTAACCTGAATCTGATAGTCGGTTCGAAGATGCGAGATACTTTTTCTATTGTTTGTTTATATTCTGAGATTAACACACTCCATATATTTTTCAAACAATCTTGACGATGAACTTGTAATGGTCAAGTCATAATTGGCTGTCAATTTTAGAGGATGACCTCCTGGATCAGTTTCGCATCCGAACAGTAGGAGATTTTCAGACACAGATCTAATCGAGTCCAGGACAAACTGAACGAGTTCTACTGCTCACAATATTACACATGATGGAAGTTCTTTCTCCTTTAGTTATAGATCGCTAAGAGAAGTAATTCATATTGAATACACAAGAAGGTCTCAGTAAGACCAGAAAAATCTAAAAAGCGTGTTTTCCCAGAAGTCTAATTATGACTATTTTACTGAATTTTCGATCCAGCTTTAGGTATTTACCAAAAAACCAAATAGCGGCATTTCAATCTGAAATTTCTTCTATTAACACGTCAAATGAGAATATCTTGAAAGTTTCAATCGAAAAAAATGGTCGTTTGCCACACAAATCAAGTTTACTTGAAAATTTAATGTCTCGACAAATCAACATTCTTTTCAGTTGAAACTTTCAGGATATTCTCATTCGATCTGTTAGTAGAGGAAATTTCAGAACAGGATACCGTTATTTGATTTTTGGGTAAATATATAAAGTTAGATCGAAAATTTAGTAAAACAGTCATAAACTCAATTTTAGAGGATCATAGACATGAACCATTTTAGAGCTTTTCTAATCTTATCGAGACCTCTTTATGAACTCAAATAGCGAGTATCCGTTCGAGTAGTTCTCTCTCAAACCATTTTCAACATCGAGTATCAAGTTCAAAGTTTACTTAAATAATAAAACTAATTCATTGGAAATGTGTCACATTTCCTAGTACCTCCTATGGTGTGATAAAAATATAACAGCAAAGTTTATTTTTCCGCATAACAAAATTTTCAATATTATTATCTGACAATAGGAGACACTAATTTTGAAAATTTCATACTTTTACAATGAACTAGTCTTGTTGCAAAATTTGAACTCAAAACTAGAAAATTGATTTCAATGATAATCTACGATTGAGCACAACATTTTATTGAAAGACCCACGACAGTCTTTCTCTAACGTCAATCGAGCTTACCTAATTCGAGAAGATTCATGTCAACATCGCTTTTTTTTTTTCATTTTGTCAGATTCCTTCATTAGAAATATTAATACAAAAGTTAAACAATCTATTTCCTACACGTCCATTTTAATTTATATTTAGTTCAGCACTCAAAACATCTCTTTCAACTGAATCACTTGATGAATCATTATCAATCTATACTAAATTAGCACATCTTACTGAACTAGTACATGATACATCAACTGAATATTTACGTTCATATAGTGTTAATCTTACACTTTATTGGTATGAACAATTGAAGACTGTCATTGATTCGTACGTTGTGTTTATTTTTTCTTTCATTCTATTTTTTTTTGTTTCGATAATAGACGTATGGAAAAAATTTTAAACACTATTGAATTTCCATATGTACATAAAGTGCCAGCAAGTCATTTAAATGAATTATTTGATAAAAATCGTGATAAATTAAAACAAGAATTAAATTATTTATTAAAATTACGTTTACCAAATCATATTAAACATAATGATGTACAATCACGTTTACGTTTTATTGGTTGGAAACCAATACCATTATTAATTCAAATCTTATTAAAAGGTCTTATTATTCGTTTTAATTTTCATTTTTATGGTAAACAAAAAACAAATGATCGTCGTAAAGTAAAATAAATTTTTAACATAAAAAAACAAATTTCTTTTTCTTTTTCTTTTTCTAATATTTATTTTCTTATTTCTAGCCTGAATGGTATCTTAATCAAATAATTAGTTGGATTCTTGATCATGATTATTTTCTAATTGAACAATTACAACCATTAATTAATGAATTTTCAGATGTTCCACCTATTAATGTTAAGGTAAGAAGAAAGACAAAAAAAAATTTTTTTTCTTTTAACAATATATAAATAGGTTGAATTTATTCGTGGTCTTATTGAACTTATTATTGTTAAACTTGATAGTCAAATAACATCAATATTAATTGATACATCATTATTTACACATTATATTGAAGAAATTCTTATTTTTTCACAACGTCTTTTTGTAAAAGATATTGATTATCCACATAATTTACCTAATTGTATGAATTTATTATGTGATGAAATTGTTTTTGAAAAATGGTTTCAAGTTGAACAAGATGGTTTGTATTA